GAGGAAAGCATGGAGACAGCGGTAGCAGCAGTGACACCAACTCGGGCAGATGGGGTCAAGGGAAAGGCAAAGCGGGAGTGCTTGATTTCCCTTGGGGGTCCAAGGGCATGGCTCCTCGGGGGTTGTGTCATGGCTGTTGGGATGAGAGACATGCATGGCAGCGATGTCCTCATCGACCTAAGGGAGGCGTTCCGGCATTCTTAAAGCGGGGGGGTCGTGGGTCCAACGGCAAGGCACAGGTGGCGGATGAGGAGGAGCAGGATGACAAGGCAGAGGCAGTGGTTGGAGAAGCAGTTGCAGCAGTGGGAGAGGAGCAGCCGCGAGAGGGGTGGTGGATTGACAGTGGGGCCAGCCACAACTTTACTCCTTATGCATCGGACTTCAAAAGTAAGCTTCAACCACCAGAGGTTCGGGGAGTTAGATTGGGAGATGGACGGGTGGTGAAAGCTGTTGGCATGGGTGAGGTGCCAGTGGTTGGTGCTGGAGGTCAGCTGCTGAGGATTCAAAAGGTCCACCTTGTGCCTGAGATGCACACGCGTCTGCTGTCAGTCCCACACCTCATCTCTCGAGATGTCATTGTCACATTCAAAGGCAAGAGATGTGTCCTTCAACAGGGGGAGCGGGTGTTGGCGATTGGAGAAAAGGAGAGGGGAAGGGACCATGGATTGGTGCGGATGTTTCTTCCTCTTGCTCAGGGCACACAGGGCAGTGCTCTTGCAGCTAAGTCGTCCTCCTCATTTTCCCTATTGACCCTTGCCCATCGCCGCCTTGGTCATACCGCCCCCACAACATTGCAACAGATGGCTCGGGGGAACAGTGTACTGGGCTTGGAGATTGGGGGGGGGAACACTGATTGTTCCCCATGTGAGCCCTGCTTATTGGGAAAGTCGGCTCGGAAGCCGTTTCCCCATGAGGCGTCTCGGGCACTTGGGCCTTTGGATGAGGTCCACATGGATTTGTGGGGGCCGGTGCGCACACCATCACTGGGAGGAGCGGTGTATGTCCTCAGTCTCATTGACGACTTCACCAGACGAGTTTGGTCGTTCCCCCTCCCCAACAAGGAGTCGGCCATAGTTGCAAAAGTCCTTCGCCAGTGGCATAAGGACGTGGAGTTGGAGTGTGGGCGGAAGCTGAAGGCTGTTCGCTCGGACAGGGGTGGCGAGTTCTTGGGGGAAGCTGTAAAAGCATGGAAGGCGGAGTTTGGCATTAAAACTCAATTGAGCGTCGCAGATACACCGCAACAGAATGGGGTTGTGGAGAGGTGGCACAGGACGATGGCAGAGGGGATTCGCACATTGTTGGTCGACAGTGGTCTCCCTGCTCGCTTGTGGGGTGAAGCATTGATGTGGGTCGTGTGGGTTAAGAACAGGGTCACCCACAGTGCTTTGCCTACCTCCATCACACCAATGGAGGCGTGGTCCGGCCAGAAGCCGCATGTGGGCATGGCTCGGATTTGGGGTTGCATGGGGAGTGTCATGCTGCATGGGCATGAGAAGGGTGGCAAGCTTGATGCACGGGCTGTCATGTGTGTCTGTGTTGGGGTGGACATGGAGAGCAAGGGTTGGCGCATGCTGGACCCTTCTATCATGCGCATTCGCATTGCTCGGGATGTTGATTTCCTTGAGAATGTGATGTGGAAGGATTGGGACAAGGCAAAGGAATTTTTGGAGCTTCTGCAGGATGCAGCTGCAATTTCCCAACTCCTCCCTCTTCCACTCTCGCCACCTTCAGCAACGGCTGACGACGTTGAGATGCCACTTTCACCACTGCCACCGCCACCGCTGAGTGTGTCGGTGCAGCAGCAGCCCACCCCTTTGCAGCAGCTCAGTGGCCCCTCGGTCATTCAGCGGAGATCCGCTACACAGGCTACTTCCTCTTCCTCCTCCTCTGGTCAGCGCTCTATCCCTCTCTCTACGGGTGCCCCTCCGTCACCAGCGACTACCTCCCCACCACCGGTTACGGGTTTGCAGGTGCTTGGTATCCAGTCTGGTACAGGTGGTGAGGAGGTAGGGGGGGATGCTGGTGTGGTTGAGGGCATGCTATGTTTGGCCAGGGAGGTGGAAGGTGTTGCACTGGCAGGTGTGAGCACAGGTGATGTCCCACGCACACTCGCTGAGGCCCTGCGTGGCCCTGAGGGCCCTGCGTGGAAGGCAGGCGCTGAGAAGGAGGTAAATGCAATGCGCACTATGGGTGTATGGGATCCAGAGCCGGTTGACTTACCTCCAGGTAAGAAGGCCATTGGGGCCCGGTACGTTTTCCGCAGGAAAACTGACAAGGAGGATAAGGTGGTACAGCACAAGGTTCGCCTTGTTGCTAAGGGGTACACTCAGGAGCCTGAGAAGGACTATGATCAGGTATTTGCCCCTGTGGGCAAGCTGACCTCAGGTCGGGTGCTTCTTGCAGAAGCCGCGGTAAAAGGGTGGCATGTACAACAGGAGGATGTTGATCATGCTTACCTCAATGCACTCCTTCAAGAGGAAGTGTATGTGAGGCAACCTGAGGGATTTGATGATGGTACAGGTAGGGTGCATCGCTTGCGCAAAGCTCTCTATGGGCTCAAGCAAGCGCCTCGTGCTTGGAATGAGGAGATTGGTACCTCCTTGATTGCAGCAGGGTTTGACCGCAGTGCATGTGATGAGGCTCTGTACATCAGGTTTGTGGATGAAGAGCCAGTGTATGTATTGGTGTATGTGGATGACCTCTTGCTTGTGTCTCCACGCTTAGAGCTGATCGGTCAGGTCAAGGAGGTGCTTGCTCAGAGGTACCAGATGAAGGATCTAGGTGAGGTATCCATGTACCTTGGTGTGGAGGTTCGCAGGTCGGTCAAGGATGGGTGGTTGGAGATTGGTCAGGAGAAGTATGTCCGTGGTCTCCAGGGAAGGTTTGGTGATCTGCTGAAGGAGACCCATAGGGTGCATACTCCAATGTCACCCAATGATCTCTCTAAGATCAGGAATGGTACTTGGTCAACTGAGGAAGGTGTTGCAGCTGATGTCAAGGTGTACCAGAGTCTCATTGGCAGCTTGATGTATGCTGCTGTGACCACCCGTCCTGACATGTCTTTCACTGTCAACACCCTTGCACAGTCCTGCGTGGCACCAAGACGCATTCACATGCGCGCTGCACTGAGAGCACTCAGGTACTTGGTCGACACAGCTGATCGTGTCATCAGGTATGAGCGCCAAGGTGGTGAGCAGGTTGTCGGGTACACAGACTCGGATTGGGGTGGTGAGACTGATGGCAAGAGTCGCTCTGCCTACATCTTTAAGCTGGGAGGAGGAGCAATCAGCTGGTATAGCAAAAAGCAAGACAGTGTTGCAGCAAGCGTTTCTGAAGCTGAGTACAAAGCTCTATCGGAGGGGGCCAAGGAGGCCATTTGGTTGAGGAGTCTGTTGGCAGAGATGCATGTGGGGGATGGGGGGGCTATTCCATTGCTCTGTGATAATGAGGCAGCTGTCTCCCTTGCCCACAATCCCGTTCTCCATCAGCGCACCAAGCACATTAAGGTGGCATGGCACTTTGTACGGGATGCGGTGCGCCAGCAGGAGGTCGAGGTGCACTCAGTACGCTCCCACCTCCAGGATGCCGACATGCTCACCAAAGCTCTTCCAAGCTTGCAGCTGCATGAGAACCTGGAGCGCATCGGCATGCGAGTGATTGCTGCGAAGGCCAAGGCTTCATTCGCTGGAGGGGTTGTATTTTGATTTATGGGTGAACTTTAATGCTTATTGGAGCAAGGGGGGGTGTTGGAATTAAGGTTAATTCGGGTTGCTCCAATAAACATATGTAGTGGTACATCTACACTATGGTAGTGTAGAATACATTGGTTGGGTTGGGAGAACTTGTGGTGTACACTCTTTAGAGTGGACCACCTCCCAAACCCTATAGGTTAGGGTTCTCTCTTGTTGGTATTTCACTTTTGGAAACCACTTTGGTTCTAGCATGGTTCATGCCCAAGTGGGCTCCTAGGATTCCTAGGCTTTAGGAGGAGGTTCTAAGACTACTAAAGCTTCCGCTAGTATCTTAGTCCATTCTAATAAAGTTCGCGTCACTTTGCAGGCATGCCAGCACATCCTGACTGGACGCGCAGACAGTCAGGTCTTCGCGAGTCAAACAAAGCGAAAATGAAATTTGACTCGCTGCAAAACTGAAATTCGTTACCGATTTAAACTGATATTCAAATGAAAATTGCACACGGCGCTTATAATATGTAATGGTTTTCTAGGGGGGGCGCTTATAATCGAGGATCGGCCACAAGCGCCATGCTCCAGATAGAAGCGTCGGCGCCTGTAATAGGCCGGCGCCTATATCCGGGGCCATACGGTATTTCCGAAGCGTATAATATAACATTAGCTGAAAGCAAAGTAACAAATTTGGCAACAATATGGTATTCTCAAGCTACACAGTGCAAAGTTCCTCTGCACTGCACCACATCCGGTTAACACATAGATCCCCACTTAAAGCCTTGCATTGGCCATACGACCTTTCACATTGGCCAAGCTACCGGTATCTATTTATGGTAACACTTTAGTCCCATTTTAACAATAAAATCACCCATTTCCCTGTCAACCCGTGGGCCGCACATGGCATGCGGCAATACTCGTTCTCCGGTCGTTGAACACTGTTTCTCAGCGACTTCTGCCCCAGCGTCGGTCTTGTGAAAACAGAATGCCCCTAGGGAACTCATCAAGCCAGCCGCTGCCATGCGTACAGTACACTACTTCACAGAGCATGAGCATGGCTCATGTGCATCCTCCCTACATCCACTTGTTATCTTGCCCAAACAGGCCTGCACTGCACCTGCTTCTGTCCACCCCCATCTGGAGAGAGCCGTGCACCTGCAAGGCATATTGCTCAAACCCTTCTCCAACTCTGCAGCACGCAGCCGTGAAAAACCGCCATTCCATGCCTCACTCCTCCGCATGCATGCCTCCCCTCATTCTTCACACCCCTTGCCTCCACGCCTCCTCATTCTTTGCTACATAGTCACACTCAACTCCTCAGACTTAACCCCGAAAGGAAGGGGTATGGAGGAGGGGAGGAAGAGATATGGAGGAGTGTTTGGGTTGGGGGTAAAAAGGTAGTATCATGGAGGGCAAGAAAAATAGTGGGAGGGGGGTGGGAGGGAGGGGGAAAGGGGGGGTTTGAGGGAAGATGAGGTGGGGACGGGTCGAATATATTGATCTGTGCGAGACCATTCTGGGCATGCATAGGAAAAGGCACAGAGGTTGGAGGGAGGGAGGCGAATCGTGGATAGAACGTAAAAGGAAGGGGCGTAGTTCAGGCGAGGATTGGGGGGTTGGAACAACAGCTGATGGTATTGCATACTAGAAAGTAGAGTTCATATTCAACCTGCTTTCGCAACACACTGACACCAGAATGCTAATCTGGGCGCGGATAGGAGACGGCGAAGGAGTGACAGAGAACGACTATCACAATTCAATCGCCATTGTGACAAAGGTGCCTTCCGTCCCACTCAGCTAAGCTCACCTCCATGTTGGCACCACCGCGTCAGCCTGCTGTCGTCCATTGGGAAGCCGACAGCTGAGAGGGCGGCCAGATGAATTCCACTTGGCGACTCAAGAGTACGAGTTCCGCCTTCTTCCACGATGCTGCGGAGCGTCTGCCCAATCATGCGGTGGCAACATCCACCCTTGGAATCGCAGTTGCACATGGGATGGGAAGGGGACTGTTGTTGTGAGAAGGGGATACGAGTTGAGAGAAGAGGGGCGAAAAGGGTTGCAGCGATCTGCAGAGCGAGGAGGGCGGATGTGGAAGACAGCTAATGGCTCGGCGAAGGGGAAAGAAGGGCTCAGATACATTGTGCCTATGCGTGACTTTCTATTAAGGGGATGAATCAGAGCGAGGAGGGGGAAGGAGGACAACACCAGATGGTATTGCACGTGGAAATGCAGCGTTGAGAATCATAGTGATTTGCCAGGTGGCGTAAAGTGGCACGGCGCAGGAGTGCATTCACCCACGGCAAATAAGGTGGAGAGTCCTCGTTCAGCGGATTCTTGCCGAACAAGGACTTGTCGACGGGAGGGGGGGTGGGGGGGGTGTTCGGGGAGAAAGAGGGCGGCGGGGGGGTTGGGGTGGGGGGAGAGGGGGAGTTTGGACGATAGCGGCATCGCGCATGGGCTGGCGCGCATGGGCTGGCGCGCATGGGAGAAGAGCGCTCACTTTTTCTCCGACAGCAAAGCAGCGCCAGAAATAGGGGGCAGATAGGCGACGGCGCAAAGGGAGGAGGCATGGGCAGCAGGTCACACTGGCACCACCATCATACCACGTTGCAAGCTGAAAGGGCGCCGCGCAGCCCAAGTGAAAGGCGTACAACGAGCTTGCAAGGCAAAGGCGGAGGCAGATGGGAACCAGCACACCGAAGCATGATCAGCCTCACCCTTGGCCGTCGCGCTTTTCCAGCTGCCTACTTTCCAAATCGCGCGTCCCGTACTGTGCGATTCGCAGCTGAATAGCAACAGCAGCGCATACAGCATGCTACGCCCACCCCTTGCTGCGGACTGCCACGTGAAGATCCACGCGTGGACTCGAGCATGTTGTTATCCAATTGAGAATAGCATTGAGATCACATGCGAATCAGCGCGCTCTTGCAGAGAGGGTTGGTTTCTCCGCTTAATCCTTCACCCTTCGTATCACTCAATACGACCACCTCGCGATGACATGCTCTGACGACTCGCGATACCGTTTGCTGAATTGCCACTAGAGCAAATACATAATTAATCGAGTAGGTCGTGAGCAAGCGGCGCTTCAAAGGTGTTCAAACACGAATTGCCTGCATCCCCGTCGACCTCACTTCGCTCCTCTCGGCCTTCAGCTCGCCTCACATCCCAAAAATGGGGGGGCTCAAAAAGTATGGTGTTGAGGAGAATGACTGGAGTAACAAAATGAACCGAGTTGTAAGGAATTTGCCAATTCCTTTCTGTAGCCTTGCCTTAAGGGGTACAGCCCGAGCACTTCGCGTCAGGTGGCTCGGCCTACATTTCCGCACCGAACCAATGCCGAGTCGCCCCGCACCAATCGCGACACATCCAAACTATCCACGTCCCGAGGTCCTCGCCTAGCACGGTTTTCGACCCTATAAATGCGTGCTCATTTATCATTCTTGGATCATTCAGTAATTCTGTAATCACGTCTTCTTTATAAAGTCTTCCGCGCACTCTGTCTAGTAAAACTCATAACACTTGGTATCAGAGCTACTTTCCTAGCTTCCCCATTTTTTAGAGTGTATTACCCCTCGGGGGGGGGACAGGGAAGGATGCCGTGGTGACAGGAGCAGCGCAAGAGCCTGCCAGGAGAACGGGTAGTTGCTCCTAGCGGCCATGAATTTCAAGGCGCTCCTGCGGCACCGACGGATCCTTGCCCTCGACGGTCGAGATGGACCGTGGCCTCCCTCCCCCCGGATGGCGGACAGCTTTTGCTGTCGTCGCAATTAATGCGTGAGTAACAGTACTCGTTTTCGGCAATTTTCGGAGTTAATGCTGTGTAGCGGCTGACGTCGGCAGACTCGTCGTCGGCGCACGTCCGAAGTTGTCGGAAGCAAGATCGTCGTGCGAGTTGCGTCGACACGTGGTCGACAGCTGCGCACGACAATTACGGAGCTAGCTGCGTGCGGCAAGTGGCGATGGGCGTCTTCGTCACGTTGCGCACGAGCTAGTGGAAGCCTTCGGCAAGTGGCGCGTCGTCACTGTGCGCGAAGATTTCGGGTAGCAGCACGTGGAAAACGACTGCTAGTCGAGCAGCCAGGCGGAATGTGTGATTTGCGTCGGAAAAACCGACGGCGAGGAGAGGCGGCGTGGCGACTGCCCGAAGAAAGCGGGGGTCTACCGTCGTCCCGCCCGGGTGCAGCAGGTGTTGCTGCAGGAGGGTGCGTCGTGGGCGTTTTTCGGCAGAGCGGCACAGTGTGGGACGGAAGTTGTTCTTCAAACCACCGAAAAGTTCGGAAAAGGCCGCCTACGACCAGAATGTTCCGGCTTGGGTGACTACTGTTTCTGGCACAATGTTTATCGGCGAAAATTTCGGAGCAACAGTGGCAGCCGATTCTGCACTTCACGCGGCACAGTTCCCTCCGGCCAGAGGTACCTGTGTTTGCAGACAGCCCAGTACACCACGGAACAACGATTCGGCGCAGCGTTTAGACCCGCGATTTTCGGGGGCTCTACCGGCTACAATAAACGGAGTTGCGACTAATACGGGTCCGGCGAGAGAAACGGGTTCCGACTTCAGGGGGCGAGAAAAACGACCTACAGCGACGACTTTTGCTCAGGCCGAGTCTCACGGCTAAGCGGCGGTAGCAGAAGGAGCTCCCTACCGGCCAAGTCTACCGACGTTTCACATACCTCACACCAGAAAAGCCTTGAAGGCAATTCGTAAGTCCTGTTGGCTACTGGATTAAAAGGTGGGGCCCTGTGTTTTAGCCCTGTGCTAGTTAGAAAGGCGTGGGTGGCGCTGGTTCGACGGCAGGGCGTTCAAGAAAATCTTCAAGCGACACTGTTTCGACCCCGACAAAACCAGACCATCGGCAACGTTTTCCCTTGCCGAAAAAGTCGGGACTGAAAAAATTGTGGCAGCTGGCGGTGTTTCTCCTGATTCAACGGTCTACCCAACGACGGTGTAGCAGCGAATGGAGTTCCCGAAGTTGTGGAGTTTTAAGTGCGATAGGCACGGTGGGCAGCGAAGCGGCCGGGCGGGCGTTTGATACGATAAACTCACCCCGGCTACGATTGTGTTCGCGCCTTCATCGAACGCCAGAAAAATCGCGGATCAACACGAAGAATGTCTCATCCGACAAAAGCGGACGCTGGGTGAACGGCGGCATGCGAAAATGTCGGGGGGCGAAAGCGAAAAAAAAAAAAGGGAGGGAAAGTTGTGGGTGCCGTTTCAAGCTACTTGAGTGATAGGCGGAGCCCGTACACCACTCCACCGCGAATTTCGGAGTCTATTCGGTAGACCTCCGAAAGGGTTTGATATCATTACATGGAGGCGCGGCGAGGGGTGTATTGCCAAGGATGCCTGGGATTTGCTAAGTATTTTCGACAGGTGCGAAGATGGGTGAACGTCGGAGCACCAGGGTTAACGGCGGAAATGTCGGGGCTACAAGGCAGAAAATACTTCGGGGCTTGATTCCTCAACCATGATTTTCGGGTGCAACTTCGACGGTGGGAGACGGGTGAACGTCTGCTCGCCAGCTGTTTAAGCGTTTCTCGGTGTACTTCGAAGTAGTCTGGGGGAGTTCTGCTGCGAGATCTGCGGCGTTGATGCGCGCTAGGGTCCGTGAAAATCGGTCTCGGGAGACCCATAAGTACTGGGTTCCACGCCAAAAAAGCACCCCCTGTTGGTGGGTAGCTTGGGTGGTTAACCGCACGAAAAAAATGGTGACCGAGTGGGCGCGATAGAAACACCGGTTCTTTCGAGGGACAACCTGCAGGCGACCAGGACTTTACGTGGTGTGTTCATTTCCGACACTTACGGGTTTCAGCAGCAGTACTGGGAGCTGGGTCTTAGCGGAGCTCAGCGGCAACGGTCGGCAGTTCCGTTTCGAAACGGCGGGGATGCAGAGGCGCTTGGTTAAGCGCGCAAAACCGACGGGAACACGATCGGTAGTGAATTCCGAATCCGTTGGGGGTACCAGCCGCAACTCGGTAAAATTTATCGCATCAGGTTGGGGGGAGGAAGGACAACTTTTTCGCCTCTGCCCTCAGTTTTCGGCGAGTCACGACAACATCGCCGAGGTAGCTGACGTCATCAACAGTTCATGTTCGAGTTTGAAAAAATATTTTCGATGGGTCAGGGGGAAGAGCAGCAGCTGTTTTTCGCCTCTGCCTGGTACTTTTCGGAGAATATCGACAAAAGCCTCGGCGAGTCTGGACAAGACTGCTAAGGGCGCCGACAACTGGAGCAGTGACAACGAGAATTTTGCCACAGCAACAAGACAACACGACAGCATTTCGGCTCGCAGCTGCTGACAACTGAAGATACTGCGGCAGCAGGGTGATTCGGTGCTGCCACGCGGAGATTTCGGGGTGGCAGTATTTTTCAAAAGGGGGGAGAGAGTGCTCTTGCACTGTACTGGCCAGTTTTTCTGACATCTTGTCTGACAGATCGTGCACGACGAACGCTCGCGATGGCCTTCTTCGGCATCTACGGCTCTTGTCAGAGAACTGCCACCATCACCCTCGTCAACACCGTCCGATTTGCCTTCGCCAGATCAACGACCTCCATTCAATCGCGTATACAGCTCGCCAATTAAATCGCGACTTTCTGATCAACATCTGAGGAATTCGACGGCTGACATTCCAACTTTTCGAAATTCGCCTGGTCAACTAGTCAACCACGCGTCAACTCCAAAGTCAACGAGCTTCTGCACCGTCAGATCAGTCTCGACCGAGATCTGCGGTTTTCACGCTACTGCGCGACTCGTCTACGGATAAGGGAACCTTATCTAGAAGGTGGGAGAGTGTAAGGAATTTGCCAATTCCTTACTGTAGCCTTGCCTTAAGGGGTACAGCCCGAGCACTTCGCGTCAGGTGGCTCGGCCTACATTTCCGCACCGAACCAATGCCGAGTCGCCCCGCACCAATCGCGACACATCCAAACTATCCACGTCCCGAGGTCCTCGCCTAGCACGGTTTTCGA